GGGGCACCGGGTTCTGCCACCAGTTTTCCGGACCTGTCGAACTGGGCAAGATAGGCATTGGGCGCATGACATCCATCACTGGTGGCGAAGGGGCAACCAGTGGGACAAAGAGTTTGCCGATGGCTGCCTTTGCTTCTTCGCTGCGACCGCTCAGTAGCTCTCCAGCACCGTCTTCTTCTAGTCCCTCGAGCGCCTGGGCATTGGCGCGGTAGACGAACTTGTTGGCGGCTTGGACAAACTCCTCCTGTAACCTCTTCAGCTCACCGTGCTTCCCCGACCAGTTGTATGTATTGGCGGCGGCATCCACCGAGTAGACCTCCTTATGGAAATCAACCAGGGATTCGATGGTTTCCGGAGTCAACTTGAACGCCACCTCGTTACGGGAGACCATGTCGACGTGTACAACGTAGGCCTCCATGTGAATCATTTGGTGGTTGTGCAGGGCTTCCCATAGCTGGTTCTCATTCTTCTCTAACTCTGACTGGGGGAATTTGGTGAACATCATGGAACACAGGGTCCAGATGGCATTTTTCGATGAGAGTGTTTCTGTCAGACACCGGGTATGCTGGGTGACATTATTCAAAGGACGCTTGACCCGGTTAACTCGCTTGAGGGTGGCTGTCAACCAAGGCTCAACCTTGGTGTTTAACACGACATTGGGAGATGATCGCGGCGCAAAAGCAGCGGCAGAAGATGGGAGTAAGACTGTTGGCATTATGACACTGTGCGAAAGGTGATACGTCCGGCGTTGGTGATATAAAAGAATGTAGAGTATAGGACATAAATCATAAAGGCGACATTCGCCCACACAGAAAGTGATTTTTTGGATTTCTTTTTGAAATTGTGTATGTCGTATAATCCAGTATTAGAGTGCGGGCGAATGCGCAAAAAGAATAGAAATTAGAATATAAAAGAAAGGAGACATGAAAGTCAAGAGTGTTGGTTATAGAAGAAAAGAGGAATAAGAAGGATAAGAGGGGAACCTATAAGTGGAGATTTTAACCACAATAATACCTAGGTATGTTAATTTTTGGATTATTTTCTATTTTTCCCCTTCAGATATTAACAGAATTCATGATTTTCTACGGAGTACGGTTCGTATTATTTTGGTATGCACGCCGATGGAGTCAATGTACATCAGTGTACATCTTACCGGACTCCCCGATTTGCAAGGAGACTCCAGTGGCGATAATACTTGAATACTTGAATACTTGAAACGGTTAAAAATGCGCGAGATCCAAACGTTTCATCAAAATTTGACGGGTTCACTCACACAGTGCCAGTCTCACACACCCGTTGCACGTCCATTTGGCCAGAACAGCTGCATGATGCCCTAAACTGCAACAGCTAAGCCCCAACGAAACGGCTTAGAAAGAACCAGAAAACCTCCGAGTCTCCATAGATCATCTAGAGCGATCAATTTTTCTACAATTAGTGTGGACTTAAATACATTTTCTTAGCTAGGCGACGTGCATATTTCAATGTGCGCCAAGATCTACACATCGTCAAAAGATACTGGATCCTCAACACTAGAAATCCCATGCTTGTGGGTGAAGAATCCATTTAAATTTGGCTGCAGCCTGCAGGTTAAGCCTTAGTTTCGATCCCTCTTCAATGTGTTTCAACACTGTTGTGCTTCAATATCCAACTGGATTATTATCCTTGAAGAGAAAATATTCCAAGAAGCTTTACAGTATTAATAACATTACACGAAATACTTACAACCATATCAAAGTTTTTTTTTGGACCTGTCGAGTGCCGCTAAGACGAGACAGAGTCGTTGACCTCAGCTGATGGAGGGTCGAGCAAGCGTGGGGCAGAACCCGTCTTGAGTCACTTCGGGGCTGGGATTCGCTGAGACCAACCGAGTCCGGCCGATGCACAGAAAGCTGAGATCCCTGTTACGATCTGCCATTGGGCTGAGCCTCCATTGCCAGACTTTGGGACGGCGCCACTAGCCTTCACGTATTGAAATACCGTTTCTTATTCTTGTACCCATATGATTCAAGTTATGATCTCATCTTACTCTGTGCTCCCGGTGCTTTTGCCTTCTGCCTCCTCCCTAAAATGGAATCCCTGCTGCATATGAGTTCGGTCACATGGTCTTGTGTGGTGTACCGGGAGTTCGCTTTAAGTCGGATGAGATTTCGTCATTGTTGATGTATATCTATGTTGTATGTTGTATGTTGTATAGCGCCCACGGCTAGGATGGACTAATAATGTATGGAAAAAATATCTGTTTGCTTTTTCCCGAAATAGATATGAGGCGGTGCACATTACTCGCCACGTTGTGGCGGATATCTCCGGACCCACATGTAGATATGCAAAGCCCTAGTGACTACGGAGTATACAACATAGTTCTTGCTTCACTGTGTTCACTTCACTTGTTTTGCCGAAAACCGGTTGGAGGAGAGATATGAGTTGGCAAGAGTTGAAAGCTGGAATCTCGGGCTGATCTTAACCAAATCCACAGCCAGCGGTTACTGAAACTCAGCTCTGTCGGCTTGGTTTCATGATTGTCAGGCTGCCATCAAGTTGGAATAGTGACATCACCACCACGACGAATGGAGTAGCATATCAAAATACATTGAATTTTGTGGACCGCATCGGTTATGACTCGTATGTGTGCCGGTGGTGTCCGATTCGAAATGAAACCAGACAATGCCCTAATAGTGCACGATATACCGTTGTTGGACGGACTCCTTGGTGAACCCGGAATAAACCATTGCTTTTTAACTATGCTAAATGACTGCTTTACTGTGATTTATGTTTAGAACGTATCCAAGGGGCTCATTTATGAATGAGTGGGACAGCGGGCTCCGAGTATATTAGACTCCTTGGTCATGAAACTCATGACCCATGAATCAATTCTCAGTATGCAAACAGCCCTGATAATCTTTACAGATTGTCAGAGTATACCCAAACCTCCGAGCAAGGTGTTTTGTCGTGTTGAAAATCCCCGAACACTTTTTGTACTAGTTGGCAGCCTTGGAAATAATAAGGCAACAATGCGAGGAGGCATATGACTGCTATTTTAGGAGAAGCCTGTGCATGCTACGTATGTTGTAGGCATAAATTGCAGCTTTCGATATGTTTGGATTCTGTAGCTGGCTCTTGTAAGGTGTTCTTGGTGCTCTCTTTCTCTTTAATTCCTTTCGAAGCGAAGCATACATGACGACTCATGAGGAATACATATGTAATGTTATATATGGTATTTTCGATGTGATATAATCAAATGACAAGACAAGTTGATTGATGCTATTTGAAATTTCCGAGACTTTGATCCAAATTTGTTGCCATATAGTTAGGAGACCAGTTATTTGACATGTGATGATAGCTCGTCGATTTGCAAGTTTAGTGTTATTTTTACGCGAGAGGGGTATCATTGTCGAGCCAGTCCTGGGAATACCCAAAGAGGCAAGTCATTGTGGTTTCAAGGTGTTGCAGTTGGATAAGAGAGTCCATTGGCATAGTATGTGTCACAAACTCTCACACTGGTAGACATAGGCGCAAAGGTTCCTTAGCTTGCCTGTCCCCTGGCGTCTGCAACTCGAAAGGCATATTTTCCCCTGGGACGTGTTGGCAAGGACATAATCCATGGTGCGTGACGAGGAAGTTGCCTTCACTGGAACATAGATGAAGAGTTCTTTCGAGCACAGCTGAGGATAAATGGGGTCTCTTTTGTGCAATAGAGAAGGTGATAGACTATGAGAAGAGCCTTGGTTTATTCTTCATGGTCTGACTGGTTCAGAGGAAACGTTGCTGTCGCATCCCTCAAGACGGAATGTCCGATGCCTTGGTCTCCTGAAATTTGGACACAACCTTCATTTCGGTGTCGCGTTCCTTGACTTTCTTGTCCATGGATTTTTGAACCTCCTCTCGTTTCCGTTTAGCAGCCTCAATCTTCTCTTTCGCTTCTTTGGAAATTTGTTCCTGCGCATGAAGCGCCGCCTCGCGCGACTTGTATTGTTCTTCCAGTTGCTTAAGCTCAGTTTGGTAATCTCGAGGTTTGATTGGTTGGCATGTTACTGGGTGATAGCGGTATGATGACAATGGGCCATCTGGAACTTTTATCTCGGCGAGAGCAGGGTGGATTGGGATGACGCGGGTTGGTGAATCCAAAGGAACGGCCGCGGCTTCGGCTGTGGGAGATGAAGCGGGTGGGGACGGCTCAGGTTTCACCATGGTTGTAAAGTGTAAACAAGTGTAAAAAAAAGAGTAAGATTAAGCAAGCGGCAAGTATTGATCGCCTGAGACTTTCGGAGAAGAGGTAAAAGGTGAGTATTGGCGTAGAAATGACCTCGGAGTTATGGATTCTGCCATATTATCACAGTTCACCGCCAACAATGTCCGCAGCGTATGCGGGGGAGGAGTCTTAGCCAAACTGACAACCTTATCACATACTTGGCATTTGATATTCATGCTAGCTGAGTTTCTTCACAGCTCTAGATTGAGACATTTCCTTGAGGGCGGTCCTGAGTGGGCCAAAGTCGGTGTGCCTGTACATCTGAGTTCCCGCAAGCTTGAGCCGGTGACGTGACCGTTAATATGCAAGCATTTGGTATGTTCCTCTACCCTTGTTGATCGATATAAGCTAACGCACTCACTATAGTCCCCAAGAACAGACGAGTAGGTTACCTAACCAAGGCGAAGTGAGGTAAATATGTAACTGACTTCTGCTATAGCCTAGGTTTGAGCTCGTTTTAAGGGTATGCATTATACACAGGCTGTGGAAATTCTATCAAGATTTCTGACTTAAAAAGATTATCGATATCAATAATGTTCCCTTGGGTAACGGCGTCGCTTTTGTGCGATGGCGACTGCCATCGTCAAGCTCCACTGAACACCAAGGCCACACAGAGAAAGCAACTCTGTCAGACCACCGTGCTTACTGGGGTTATGAGAAATGCCTTCAAGTAAGGCTTACAATTGATAGGACATCAATCCTTCAGGAGTGTGAACTCAGTTTTGAAGTTATACAAGAGTACACCTCGTCGCCCATGTCCGAAAAGAGTGTGCTTGGCAAAATCAAACTCAACCTCGCCGAATACGTGGACAAAACTGAGGAAGACGACGGAATTATTCGGCGGTACCTGATGCATGAAAGTAAAGTGAACAGTACTGTCAAGATCGGAATCGCAATGCGTCAGCTAGAAGGCGACCGCAACTTCACAACGTAAGCGAAGTCCCAAACTCCTTTGCCATCCACACTCTCCATACTAATTATAAAAGACCACAGCTGAAATCTGCTACCGTCTTTGGAGGAATCGCCGGAGTCGTCCAATCCACCGAACAGCCCATCAATGCCGATGAATTTGGCCAGTTGCCGTCTATTGACACCAAGAGCCGGGAGATTGCAGATATGCAAGACATGTATCGGCGCACCTTAGCAGCGTCATGGTCTTCTAGAGCAGGTGATTTGCCTGCTGATAAGTTAGTCGAAGAGTTGTTTGCTGGAAGTTCTTGCTGGAACAACGATGCACACAATTCCAACGCTGGTATCTCAGCGGGCGATCACCGAGATTCTTTATTGAGCGCAGAGACAGTTCCACGACAAAGCCGCTCCGGGAAAAAGCTGTCACCCAGTTTCGAACGGCGCCCCAAGAGTACTTCCAGCAATCGCTCACACAGTAGCAGTAAGACCCCAGACTCTCTTGCTGCGCTTGGGCATCAGAAAAAGGGTGGAAGCATTGAGCAGCAGTTGTATGAAGGGGTCAAGGGCCGGACATGGAAGGCACCGGATACAAATAATGAACTTTCGGAGTTCGATGTAAGAGAGGACTTGCGCAGCTGGGAAGTTGTACCAAAACAATAAATTCTACCAAGGTACATACCTTTATGCGCTATGTATTAGTAGACGGACTGAATCCCCTGCTTTTTTAAATATTCAGAGGAATCTGAGAGAGTGCTGTGCTACATAGCCGAAGAATTCGTTCAAAGGATATTTCTGTATAACTATCGTACACAGTAGATATCACTGCCTGAAAATTGCTGCCTGAGGCAGAAATTGATTTCTTATCGCGGCCTAGCGCCCCGATTATCGCCGGAGAAAAGCGATCGCAGGATAATTTGCCTTCTCCATGTTTGCAATAGACCTACTTGTTCTGTCATGCTTCGACGTCCCGCAAGCAACAAGCTGGGGCTTCTGAGCTTCCAGTCGCTTTCATATCGGAGACCACTATTGTCATACCCACACGCAGTTCTTCCCCGATACCAGGGTAACTGGAGCCGCGATCATGAAGCTTTCGATGGGCCCAATTCCGAACGAAACCGCAAACCGAAAGATAACGGAAAACCTGAAGCAGGGAGATTCACATTGGATGTGGACACTCTTGGGAAACCAGGACAAATCGTTGTTGTGCCCTCACGTCGCAGCCGGATGTTAAATCGCAATCGCAATCGCAATCGCAACGAAAACCCCGAAAATGAATCTGGCGACACAATAACCGCCATGTTGAATGAACTTGATGAAGAGAAATTGTTACCCAGCGATAAGTCAGTCAAGGAAAGAATTGATGAGGTTCGTGGATCATATCAACTGGGACAGATCTTGCCTGCAGCCGATCTTAAGGCATTGTGGTCAAAATTGGCTTCCTCTTTCACATACAAGCAATTGTCGGATTTCATTTCAGAGTACAACCGCAATGCTGCGATAGAAGAGAAAGGTTGGACATGGCGGCCAAGTAGCTCCAAATCTTTATTGGGAAAGACCAAGGGCTTTAGGGGGAAAATCCCGGGCTGCAGAGACGATTGTTCGGAATTGTTGGCAGCTGGTGGCTGATGGCGAGCGTGGCCGGTTAGAATTCCGCATGCCAGCTCAGTTCATATCCTTGCTTCTGCATGCTGAGCATTTTTCTTTCCACGAGCTAGCTAGTCTCCATGGCTGTGGCATTGAAGTCACACAATCCGCGGGCCTAGTGTCACTCACTGGCAAGCGAAATGATTGTGAGTCTGTTCATGAGATTATCGTTGATGCCACTGGCAGGATCCGCGAGGGTGATGTTGGAATCGACCCATATATCCATGGAGATGGAACTAGTCAAGTATTTACCCCAGACTTTTTGGAATGGGTCAACAGCACACACGGCGTTTTTGTGGAACACAAAGGACACAGACCACCACAAAAGATTCTCTATCTTGCTGAGAATAAGTTGGGAGCAGATAATGCGCGAAGGACTTTGAACTTGGCCTTGTCCAACACCACATCACCATCGGCGCCATTCTCAACATATTTACCTGCTTCGGAACTTGCCAGTACTTATAGCTACAGACCAGGAGCTCACGCTTCGTGGTTTGAGCAAGAAAAGTTGTGGTTCCGGTGGGCAATGTCTTCCAGTCAAAATGCGGAGGCAGAAAACCTTGACACTCCTTTCTTCGATAAGCACCAAACACGGCTCTCAGATGAGCTATTGAAGCTTCTCCGAGTTAATACTCCGCAAACCGGTTCAGTCATCGGGTTGCATGAGTCTGTGACAGCCGTGGTTGGGAAATGCCTTTTTATGCAAAAGCCCTCTTTCGATGAGACAGCCATCAGTCCAGCACAGTTGGGGAAACTGTCCCTTCCACGCGCTTTCACAAACGACATACCATTGGTGTCGCGTTTCATCGACTCACTCATGCCTATCAGCCCAAAGGAGGAGGCACAGCTATATCGACTCCGGTTGTCTCCGACCTCCAACGCAGGATCCCCGCCGGAACTCGAAATTGAAGTGGCTATGAACTCAAACTTGGATGGTGTGGACGTCCATAGCGTAAAGGCTATTCTCACCACAAACAGCGTTGACTACCTGCTTCCGGAAAATGGTCTGGACCTACGTTTCACACGGACCATCTCGCAAGACCTCTTGTATAAGCCATCTTCGAACCCCGAACTCTCGGAAAACTCTTCTGGGCACCTTTTGTCCGATCCTTCTTCTTCGCCACAGGTCCAAGAAATGCTGCAAAGCATCAAAACCTCCCTCCAGGGCCCAGTCGTCAGCAGTGGGGCTTCACAGGGTCCTGTTCCACCTCCTATATTTTGCAATATCACTCTTCCCTGTGATCTTGTTCATCGTCCTGCCTCGCAAAAAGTTAAATCCAAAAAGGTGGACGAATCAGTGGCAGAGGACTGCGTCGCTGTCGAATACATGTTCCCTCCACTCAGCGACATTCGAGGTGCCGTTGTCCAAAAGTATAACTTTGATGGACGAGCACTTGACTACCGGTATTACGAGAGCGATTCGCACCTTGCTGCTCGGACAAATGAGGTCTCTCTACACATGGAGATTCCCCAAATTGACTCGGCCCCAGAAAATGACCAATCTGAGCAGCTTGATCATGAGTTCCATTCGTTCTACAACGCGGCGTGTGGTATGGCATTCAAAATCCACGGCAAAAGATATGTGGATTAACAGCATGGGTCACTTTTTATTGAATTTGTACAGCGTGCATCAACGGCCATCATCATATAAGATGGCGGCGTCTTGGGTCTGTATTCACTGTACATTATGTAAAATATTTACCTGTTTTAGACACGGATTATGTTTTGGGTTTTAATATAGCTAGTCGAAAGTCCCCCCGAATAGACACAATTACCGAGAAATCATGATTTAGAGTAGTCGGCGCTTATGCGGCCGTAGTCTTGTGGTCTTGTAAGCCAGGCATTAATACAGCTCGGTGGTTAACTGATCCAGTCTTTTCGCCTCGACCATAGCCATATTCGTCGAAGAGTCGTTGTGCATGCCGTACCAAAGGGAATAGTCCACGACTCCCGACAATCGCACCATTTCGCCATCGACTATCCAAGGAATTTGATATCCTGCTCGATTGTAGGTGAATGGAGTTGATAGATTCAATAGAAGCGATAGACGAACCTGACATGACTGACGAGGACGACGTGATAGAGACACGGGGAATTGGCTTGGGCTTTGTCATATATTCTTGTTTCATCTTTGCCAGCGTAGTCAAGATGATGGCAACTATGCGAGATCTTACAACGGCCTCATTTTCTGGGGAACCCTTCGTAGCTGTGCTATCGTCAGTGAGAATCGAATCTACCACATGTAGGTATGCAAGTTAGTGTAAACCTTGGAACACGTTCATATCAAATCGAGTTTACCCACGTGAGGGAGAGGCGAAACCATTTCAGCCTTGGAAGGTGAAAGTTCATGCTCCGTTGGCACAGCTGAAGTGAGATGGAAGATCTGGAGGATGTCCTCGAAGGAGACAAAGAAATTGGCGACATAATTTATAGTCTAACCTTGGAAGGTAACGTGAAGGCTAGAGCTGAATGCTGCCCTTGGTCGTTGACTCCTGGTTTCAAGGCTTGTCTTGCTATGCATTGTAAATTGGTGCACATGTGTGCAGCTATTCAAAGCTATAATGGGCCAAAGAATAACTTGACCAGGACAAGGCATATTTTGTAGACTTCAAATGTTGCGACCTAACTAAAGCCCGTGGATTAAACAGTCAATACCTTTGTACTCAACTCAAGTGTTCGACTAAGCCTGTGCATCCCTGAATTATTATTAGCGTAAAGTAAAATCATAGGCTGAGATGCCTTTAGACCATTCTATTCTCACTGAACATACCTACCTAGGTAGGTACTTAGGTAGCAAAAAGTGCTTATATGTATACATATGTACCCGCAGCGAGTTGTACGTAGGCGTGACCTGAGACCCCACAATCAAGGCCCGTGACGTGTAACACCTCTCATCCCAACTACTCATAATACGTCCAAGGCTGCTCAGGCAGGTGCCCAGGTGCTTAGGACTGATTAGTGGCCCTGATTGATTACACGCCCACAATAAAATATATATATATGCCTATATTGAGTTATTTCACTTGCGATCACTACCGTGCCCTCCGATCCTGCTGTTCCCACCGTTCCCCTCACCCAACATATTCAGCATGAAGACTATGCGCCAGTGATTTACACGGCATGGAGAAAACACGGATTGCTAAGGTCCGGAGAACCTAAGGCGCCACAAACATTTCACTCACTGACCATGTCACTCCAGGTTGAAAATGTGACCTTAGCTCGCCGCGGAGAGCAGGTCGATGGCACCCTTCATTTAACCCCTCACCACCTCATCTTTTCGCACACCCCACCAATATCTCCGGAAGACCAGATAAAGGGCGTGACAACAAGGCCTAGAGAGCTGTGGTTCACATACCCTATCATCGCTTTCTGCACCCTGCGGCCAGCTCCCGCCGCCTCCCGCCAGCTTTCTTCCATCCGCCTCCGATGCCGAGACTTCACATTCGTCTGTTTCTACTTTGTAAATGAGCACAAAGCACGAGATGTTTTCGAAAGTATCAAGCAGTGGACATGCAAATCCAGTCGCATCGATAAGCTTTATGCCTTTAGCTATCAGCCTCCCCCACCAGAAAAGGAGTTTAATGGGTGGGAGCTGTATGACCCGCGCAAGGAATGGGCACGACAGGGCTGCTTGGAGGAAGGAAAAGCATGGCGTCTTTCAGAGATCAATGTGAACTATGAGGTATGCTCGCGCGAACCAGTCCAAATGTGTCCTACTAACTATCTTAGTTCTCCCCGACCTATCCCGCCCTTATCCCTGTACCTTGTTCCATCTCCGACAATACACTTAATTACGCAGGGCGCTATCGATCTCGAGCAAGGATTCCTGCACTCACATACTTTCACCCTGTCAATAATTGCACCATCACCAGAAGCTCACAGCCCCTGGTCGGTGTCCGCCAGAACCGAAGCATTCAAGATGAGAAGCTTATGTCTGCTATCTTCTTAACTTCTCGATCCGAGCGGCCGTTGGCGAGTTTCTCAGCCACCGAGAAAGAAACAGATTCTAGCAGTCCGGAGATGAGCCAGGTGATGGTCCCCGAGTTGAACAATGCCGAGGAAATCGAGGACGACTTGTTAGCTGCTACAAGTAGCGATCTTGAAGATCATCGCTCCGTATATGGCGCACAGCAGTCGAACCTAATCGTGGACGCACGCCCTACGGTGAATGCATTTGCCATGCAGGCTGTTGGACTTGGATCAGAGAACATGGACAACTACAAGTTCGCTACCAAGGCATACCTTGGTATTGACAACATCCATGTCATGCGAGACTCGCTGAATAAGGTGATCGATGCTTTGAAAGAGTCAGATGTAACTCCATTAGGGCCAAATCGTGACCAACTAGCGCGCAGTGGTTGGTTGAAGCATATTGGCGGGATATTGGAGGGAGCCAAACTGATCACTCGTCAAGTTGGTCTTACTCATTCTCATGTACTGATCCACTGTTCTGATGGCTGGGACCGCACGAGTCAGCTCAGTGCGCTGAGCCAGATTTGTCTGGATCCCTACTTTCGCACCCTGGAGGGCTTCATGGTGCTGGTAGAGAAAGACTGGCTTTCATTTGGACACATGTTTCGACACCGGTCTGGCCATTTGAACAGCGAGAAGTGGTTCCAGATTGAAAATGAACGCATCGGCGGAGACCCCAACCGTGCCTTTGGTGACGGTGGGGGTGCAGGGAAGGCGATTGAAAATGCATTCCTTAGCGCCAAAGGATTCTTTGGTCGGGATAACAATAGCCGTGACTCTTTGCCAGAATCGGACGGAGAGCTGCAAAACTATGACTCTGACACTCCTGCGAAGAAGCCTGCTACACCGCGCTCAGGGGTGTCTGAGAAGGAGATAACCAAACCAAAAGAGACGAGCCCTGTGTTCCATCAGTTCTTGGACGCAACATATCAGCTGCTTCATCAACATCCGACGCGATTTGAGTTTAATGAGCGTTTCCTGCGGCGACTTCTCTATCATCTCTACTCCTGTCAATATGGCACATTCTTGTTCAACAACGAGAAAGAACGCGTGGATTGCAAGGCCAGTGAACGGACCCGTAGCGTTTGGGATTACTTCCTCGCTCGTCGGGAACAATTCACAAACCATCAGTATGATCCAGTCATTGATGACAATCAGCGCGGCAAGGAACGCCTTATCTTTCCCCGTGTCAATGAAACACGTTGGTGGAATGAGGTATTCGGTCGAACAGATGCGGAAATGAACGGGCCCCGTCCCTCAACGGCACCCAGTGAAATCCCCGAAAGTACGGTGTTGACTGGCATTGAGACTGCAGGGCCAGCCAATGCTGGTAAAATGACTGATGTATCGGGGATGGCAGCTGCTGTGACATCGGGCGTATCTAAGCTTGCGTTCCCAGCGGAGCGCACCGACAAACAAACCAAGTTAGAAGTGGAGATGCAATGAACCTGGGGTAATCAAAGGAATCGGGTGATATTTCAAGCATTTACACAACTTTATTTTATGCATCCATGTTGAGACGACCATAACGTGATTCGTCCAATGATGTTGGAGTAGTTAGATGTAAAATTACTGCCTTGTTGCCTTGGTATTGCCTCAAAGATAAGGTGATGACGCTAGTACAAAACAGGAAAGGCGCCGGCAAGCGAGGGTTGAGCCCTGGCCCAAACGGGCAAGCAGCCCTAGTCCCGAAAAATCCCCACTAAATAATACACTCTCAGAATTGAAGTCTCTCGACCACGATCCCCTCCGTCGACAACCCCGATTCCACCACCACCAGGAACGTCAAAATGGCCGCTGTTCAGGGAGCTATTTCTAAGCGCAGAAAGTTCGTCGCCGACGGTGTCTTCTATGCCGAGCTGAACGAGTTCTTCCAGCGCGAGCTGGCCGAGGAGGGCTACTCCGGTGTGGAAGTCCGTGTGACTCCCACTGTCACCGACATCAGTACGTCAAACCCGAAAAACCAATCTATCGTGTGATCGCTTGAGAATTGCTGGTGAAATTGCCTGGAAAAGAGGAGGAAAAGAACGATTTACGATCGCGATGGGATCTGCGGAATTCGAATCGGGATTTGATGCTAACGGGCTTTCCAGTTGTCCGTGCCACCCACACCCAGGAGGTTCTCGGTGAGCAGGGTCGCCGCATCCGCGAGCTCACCTCCCTCATCCAGAAGCGCTTCAAGTTCCCCGAGAACTCCGTCTCCCTCTATGCCGCCAAGGTCCAGAACCGCGGTCTCTCCGCTGTCGCTCAGTGCGAGTCCCTCCGCTACAAGCTCCTTAACGGTCTTGCTGTTCGTCGTGCCTGCTACGGTGTCCTCCGTTTCATCATGGAGTCTGGTGCCAAGGGTTGCGAGGTTGTTGTGTCCGGAAAGCTCCGTGCCGCCCGTGCCAAGTCCATGAAGTTCACTGTACGTCTATGCCAGGGAAATAGCATCCGACAAATCGATCGCAAAAAGCCAGTTCTGGAGGAATATTATGGCTAACGCAAGTAACAGGACGGTTTCATGATCCACTCCGGTCAGCCCGCCAAGGAGTTCATCGACTCCGCTACTCGTCACGTTCTCCTCCGCCAGGGTGTCCTCGGTATCAAGGTTAAGATCATGCGCGGCTCCGACCCCGAGGGCAAGGCCGGCCCCCAGAAGACTCTCCCCGACTCGGTCACCATCATCGAGCCCAAGGAGGAGCAGCCCGTTCTCCAGCCTATGAGCCAGGACTACGGTGCCAAGGCTATTGCCGCTCAGCAGGCCGCTGAGCAGCAGCGTCTCGCCGAGCAGCAGGCCGCAGAGGCTGAGGGTGGTGCGGAGACTTTCGCTCAGGAGTAAATGTTTTATCTACATTAGGCCCGGCTCTTCCTTTTTCTTCCATCTGTCCTAACCTAACCTGATACTCTACCTCACGCAATCAAAATTACATGACCTTCAAAGCCATTTATCCGCAATTCTATAATTCGTATTGGCCAATACAGAGGAGGTCCCTTGGAAGGTGTTCGGGGTCTGGTACATATTGGCGAAAGAAAGGCTTTGATTGCCATTGAATATCAGATATCCTATACTGGAATCGAAGCCTCGAGATCCGTTCTCTGTTCCTGTTCGAGTTCCTCGATCACCAAATGCCTGTCCGACTTTGTCTACTATGGAGCTATTGATGTAGTAGTGTTGGCGTAATCGTTAACATCTAGGTATTTTACTGCATGTGGGGCTGGGACTCGGGAATTTGGAACTGGAGCGTATATATCAAGCCTATGACAAGCTCTTTGGTAGAACTAGTCAATTTTAAGCCCTGGAACTTCCTTCATACCTTCGATGGCAATTTGATAGCATCTGTTTGTTCTTCTATTATAAACATATAAGCTACAAGCGCAACGAAAACAGTTGGAAACCCTAACCACTGTCGCCGTACATATTTCTAATCGCAACAGAGGATTCGTATACGCTGAACTGAAGAGTACGAAGAATTCAATGCTCCGTTCAGTGTCGCTATTTATTATTTGATAACAAAATATCATCCAAGAAATTCCATACATAATGCATATGCAAAAACAAAAACAACATGGAGTACATGTCCTTCATAATCGGGTTCAATCATAAAACAAATCGAATCAGATTATCCAAATTCCAAGAAAAAGTAAAGAAAGGAATGAGTACTCTCAACGCCCACGATACGAGGCAGCGGCAAGCCGACTAAACAGCAGCTCGGGATGCTCCAAGACCTCCGAGTGCCGACGATGCAGCTCCTCGAGCTGAGCCAGGGGATTCTGTAGACCGCCACAATAAGTACGTTGCGTTGAGGAGAGAAGAGAACACATCAACCGTGACACCCACCCATTCCTCCTGGCTAGGCACGCCCTCTGCAGCAGGGAGGGCGGCTGTACCGGAGGCCTCATCCCCGTAGCTAGTGCGGTGGATTGGGGCCGGCGTTACGGGCAGAGCTGGGGCGCTCGACTTCTGTTGGGAAGTCGGTAATCTTGGTGCTGGGGCGGAAGCCGGGGGTGGGGGGTGATGTCCCCGGGCTATTGGAGTGGGCCCCCCGGGCTTGTCGCTTGTGATTTTGTGCGCCGTGCTTGGATTGTCTCAATGTAGCGCTGGATCTCTGGGTCCTCATCCCAGGCGTTGGAGCGGGTGTATGTTTGCCAAGATTCGGCACTGGGTTCGAACGGTACCCGAGTGTAGGAAGGTGAGGGTCCGGGAGGGGCTGACTCGCTTGGGACTGAAGGTTGCTCCGGTTCATCAGGTATCACGGGAGCTCCCACCAACTCCACAGGTGCCTCCTCGGCGAAGACGCGGGTGGGTTTTGGAGCATGGCGCTCCCAGGGGAAGACCGTGGAAGGTTTGGGCTCCGGTTTGGCTGGAACCTCATACCACATGTTTTTCGGTGCCTCGGGGAGGACGACGGGGGTTGGAATAGATGCGTGTCTTCCGACATATTGTAGGTTTTCTGTTGTAAACTGAAACCTTCGGGTTTCGTGTTGACCGGTGGTGGCCCACTATGGGATATTAGCACTGGAGACGATAACGAGGGATACACTCTCACCGTGAGGGATCCCACTCGGACCTTGGCGCCTCAAAGGTCGAACCCTCTGGAACTGGAGACGGGGGTGATTGGTATTCGATGACTGGAGGAACCGGCGCCAGCGGCTGTGGTTGGTGAATATGGCCATCGGGGTAGTGTATCTGTGTCTGCGCCTGAGTCTGGTTCGGGGTCTGCATCTGTGCCTGGGCCTGTATCCGTGTCTCGTACGTTTCGTGGCTCACTTGAGGCGCGAAAGTGATTGGCGCAGGAGGCAATGGCGAGACAAATGTTGAGATATGCTCCTCTCCGCGAACATACTGCGGTACCATGCTCAATACAGGCACAGCAGCATGGCGTACAACAGCAGGAGCAGAATGTTCGCGGTGCGGTTCTGGATGGCTGTGGTCGACTGGCGGTACTTGGTGTGACCCATCGTGGAAGCTCGCTGGTTCTTCAATATGGTAGGGCTGTTGTTCAGGCGTCCGCTGTGTCTCATGAGGAATGGTGCTGTCATAACGAGGGGCACGGTCATGTCGAGGGGTATGGACTTGGTCGCCTTGGACCAATGCCGTCTCTTCAATCTCAACTGGCGCGCTCGGTACCTAAAGATGTCAGTCCAAGGTCTTAATGATATTGCACATCACTTACAAATGGCAGACGATAATGTCTGTCATAGATAGCCCACCACCGGCCTAGAAGCTGATTGTACGGGGACTCCAGCGGAAGAATCTGTCTGGGCATATTCCACGGCTTCCGGGCACCAATGAAATGAATAAGACTGATGGTACTTTGGAAATGCTTGTACGCGGGAATGTACTGATAATTGGCACTTGGCGTGCAGTTATACGTGAAGCTTAGCCTATGCCAGTCCCGAAAATGCATGTTCAGCAGACCCTGGTCGGCGCCATCGAAGCTGATACCTCGTTGGGCGAGCGCTCTTAGCGCATAATAGTCCTGCAGATTAGGTCGAAGAACCATCATTCCACTATTAAAGCAATCCGGCCAACCAACGTCAGGCGCGGCAGCAAAGTCTGCTTCCAGCGATAACAGTTCGTCGGGGGCTCGGAGAGCTACGACATCACAATCAATGTATACGACCCGCTGATATTGCGTCAGGCGCCAGAGCTCGATCTTGGTGAATGTTGCAATCAGGTCTGGACGGTCCATGAGCCACAGGTTCGCTGGTGTGTCATTTACCATTGAGCTCACTGGGACCAACTCATCGTAGACGGTCTAATATGTAAGAAAAGGGTATAGTTTCCAAGGTTGGGGAATGCTGTACGTACCCTTAGTTCGTCGATGGTGCTCGATTGTAGTCTGTCTGGCGTAAATAGCGCCACTAACCGCGCTTTTGTACCATTGTCGCGTAGGGAATGGGCAAGGACCATAGCACCTATAAATATTTAGAATAGTTTCACATTACATATGAATTGGAACCTACCAGGAAGGTAATTGTCACTCAACAGAAGCTGTCCCAATCGTCAGTTTACGCCATAAGCATAGGAAAGGGGGGGTTGGATACCGTGCAGTAGACTGCTCCTCCATTGGAATCCATCACGCCACAGTTCCAACAGCAAAAACAATGATCAGACACCCGATAGATTCTAGGACAGAGAAGCAAAACGAAAAGAAGAAGAGTGGGCTATATTTAACCTGTCAATTGCCAATGACAGTTCGGACCGGTAGCGCGATACACCGACCGTGGTACCTGGACCGGACGCAGATTCGAGGGGGGACGAAAACAGGGAGATATTTTTCTCTTTCACAGCATGTTGTGTAAGGTTGAACTCTGAGAATTGCTGAGATTCTTAAAAGCAAAAGGGCAAAAGCGCAAAAGAGCAAAAGAGCAAAAGAGCAAAAGGCCGAGAGTAGGCAAATTAAGGTCAAAGCTCCCGAGGGGGAAGTGGAGTTGCCTCCCCCACTCGGGTAAATCATCTCTTTTGGATTATGTTGTATACATTTCCTTCTCTTCTCTTCTCTTCCTCTTTGTACATATATATATATCATACCTAGGTATATTATATATTCTTGACTCTACAAAATATGCAAATCATCCCTCTCTAAATGGTCTAACATGGCCTAAGTGAAACATCATCTTCACCCTAACCACTTTAGGTCGGGTTGCTCCCCCCGCAATACGAAAACGTAGAATATCAAAGTTGTCCAACATATTGCCTATGTTTATCGTGAAAAAGTGACCTGGACATCAGGGTACGATTCAGTGATGACCGTCCCAATATCCCCCTCTTCGCCTTGAGCAGCCCATTCAACGGCCTTGATCAAAGCTGTACCGCTCTCACGTTCAACCGGAGTCCAATGTCCAGTACGGGGAAGCAGCATAATATGGGACCCATGCACCAAGTAATCACCCATCCCATCAAGGCAGATTCTCTGGTCAAGAGCAATATCATCCTTGCCCCAGAAAATGGTCGTGCTAGCTTTGAGAGTGCCAGGGGGACCTTCATCGAACAGTCCACCTCCGGTACTCGCCAGTCGCTTTCCAGATGAAATGCTGTGCAAGCTAGCAACCGTCTCAGCGGACTTGACCCAGCGCGCCGTCGCCGCCCGATCACGGTAATATCCCGCCATGTGCATGACATGTGCGAACGAGCGCTCGCTGAGACTGGCTGGATAAGTATTACCGCTGGGAGTTTTAGTATCTGATTCTGCGGCGGACGGGCCCATGGTACTGGCCATGGTATTGGCTATGTCGAGGGGGGTATATTCGTCCTTGTTGAACGAGGCGAGGTGGCATTTTTTCAAAAACGACTGGTGACCTCCGGATAGGAAGTAGCAGACAATTGGTGTTGGTAGCTGCATGGCAAAGATATAGCCGGATAGAACAAGTTGGCGGGCGAGAGGAATGAGGGTTCGGAGTGCTTGCATCAGCGGGACGCGGGCGTGCAGTGGTGAGCGCCAGGCGTTACCGAGCATTTTATTGGCCGAGAAGAGCAGACGGCGGATATTAGATTCAACCAATTTCATCTAAATCGTTAGTTGAGATAGGATATTCCACCGTTGTTCTAACATACTGATGGTCCATTGGACAGGATGAACCGATGCGCCAGCGACGGAGCTTCGGCAGCGAGACGCATGGACAAGACGCAACCCCAATCATGGGCGACAATTATGGTTCTCTTCTTGTTGCTTTCGTTACCCGAGTCCACGCCATACTGGGTCCGCAGAGTGACGATCAGCTCTGTCAATTTCTCCAAGACATTTGTTGCATTATATTCTTCCAGGATCTCTGTTCCTCCGTATCCGGGAAGGTCAATCGCAACGAGCGAAACGGCCTCTTGCAGACCGGGATCTCTGATAATGTGTCGCCAGATCGCCCAGCTGTCGGGGAATCCATGGATGAAAATGACCAATGGTTTATCGGACTTGATAGCTTCCGGTGTATTCGGGATATCGTTACTGACAAAGTGGAACTTGAATCCGCTCTGCAAGGTTAGAACGTGGTGAGAGAGACCTTCAAATTCTTTAGATAAATCCCACAGGCGGGCGCGAGCTAAAGAGTCAGCAAAGAACTTCCACTACGGTGGATACATAGCTCACCAAGCTGTAGGTCTCGTTTCTCGATTTCAGTGGGGCGTTTTAAGTATGTGCCTTTCGCCAAGGCAATTAGGCCATAAGAAACAACTGTCAGGAAGCCGTAGACATAGATGGCCGCGCCGACCAAGGCACGGGATAGCGATTTGCCCATATTGGAATTATTGTTGAAGGAGTGAGGAGTCAGCTTGTAATAAATCTACCTAGAGCTGGCCCCGGGGGGGCAAACGGAGCTCGGCCCACTCGTCCACGGGCAGCGTCACGCCTGAGTCAGCATATAAAACAACCGTGGACCTGGTGACAGCGGGTACCTACATGAGGTATGTAAGTGCGGAATACATCCATGGATAATTTAGATCATTTAGATAGTTAAGATACAAATTCAGGAATGCAATCATATTATACTGTAAATTGTAGTTGTAGGCAGTTTACAGCTTTTCTCAATGGCAGACCGAACGCCACCTCCACATGCACAAATATTATTGGTAGAAAACAGTCCGAGAGAAACGGGGTATTAACAGACAAAAAAAAAACAAAAAGCCATCATCTCGTCGAAAGAATATATACAGTTCAAAGAACGAATCCTAGTTGTTCACGGTTGTCGTCTACCAAGCGACCATACCTGGAAAAAAAAGGTGAGCAGGTTAGCAGGATTCCCTTGTAGAATGACGAGGTACTTACTCAAGGAGTAACCGGAAGAACCAAACCTCCAGATCTTCATTTCGTAGGGTCTGCTGTGCCCAGCGCTGGCCCTGGTTGGCGATTTGAAGAGCGGCCTTTTTGCCCTCTTCTTCGGAGGTAAAGTATCGCATGCTCTCAACGTACTCGTTGCCTTTCAAGCTGAGAGGGACGTAATGCACCCAGGGCTTCAGCCACTCGTCGTGCCATTCGCGGAAAATAGCGATCTTGTAGACAAAGCTGTTGCTATGCAAGAAAGCGTGGAATCGCCCGCTAAAAGCGTTGCCGTCGATGTCGACTGGGAACTTGTGCGCCCACGCATCCTGTTGCCCAGCCTGTTTGAACACTCCAAAGTATTCAGTCTGCGCATTGCAGTCATCCGGGTCGCACTGGCCGATGAGGGTGAACTTGACATCGAACGAATCACGGTGAGCGTCACGGTTGGTGACCTGGGAGACCCAGCTGTCCCCTTGGCGAGCGAGAACTTTGGTGGTGCCTAAGCCGTTGACATTATCGACAAATTGCTGTCGGTGTTGTCGGCGCCAGCCACCCGCACGCGAAAAACCGCCGGTTGTGGAGCCACGCCAGTACATTCGGTCGGACTTGGCCTCCCATGCATAGTCCTTTGCAGGATTGTAGGGGACCTTGTCGGCCCAGTACCAGGGACTCGGGTAAATGATGTCCTGGAAGCTGGAGATCTTGCTCTGCGAAAAAGACGGGAACAGATCGTGGACGACATCAAAGGCGTTGGGTCGATCAAAGAATCCGTATGTATAGCGGAGAGAGGGGGCATTGCAAATGTCAGAGGCCGCCGTGGTATTGTAGATGAAGCCGAGTTCGCCATACGCATAAGGATCAACGTCGTCGGAGGGGTTTTCGTCGAGTGAGCGCGCTGGGCTGTCAACCGGACAAGATACTCGGGAGTTTGTCCAGGTCGGTTGGTGTGCGAAGCGGTTGAAACGAGTGGTGCGCACCTCGTCGATGCGGTCGCCTTTGTTTAGGTCTGAAGCACGTGGGGACCACGCATTGGTCGGCTTTTTCTTGAATGCTGCTGGGATAGTAAAGTCCTTGGCTTTCTGTACCAATCGCTGGAGGTCTTCGCTAGGGAGGATCACGCGCGGCTCGTCGTGAGTGTTGAACACCAGGTCCATATCGGGCAGGTATTTTACAAAAGCTTCCATCATACCGGCAGTAGCGTCTCGCTGCCACTTGCGGTCGTCGCCCCCTCCATCCGTTAAGGACACCTTGCCGTCGCGAATTAGAACGCCGAGCACCGCATTGTCAAATCCAAGTGTCTCGCGTGCCCGTTCGCGGATCGTCTTAGGTTCCACACCCCAGAAAGGGAGGAGGGAGTGGTATATGGAGTCGAAATCATCAACGAGCTGTACATTTTTTGCCTGGGCAAACTCGAACCACTTGTCGAAAAATGGCGGCGGGTGCATATTATAGCGGCGCTTGTATTCACTCACGGCCTCGGCCAGGGTTTTCGATTGCCGTGACTGCGCATGATTGAAATCCTTTTGGGCATTTCCAATCAGACGCGTGATCGGGTGTTCCTTCTCGGGGAGGTATGTGTTCTGCCCCGCATGGAGCTGGGGGTGTTGTATCGGTTCGGGAGGAGGCAAATCTATGGGATGCTGCTCTGGGGGATTCGATGATCGTAGTAGTAGGAGAGAAAGACAGGCAAGAACGCCGATCGCAAGTAATACAATCAGCCGTTGGATGCGCATGCTGCCATTGGGGAGAGGCATGAAGAAGGAGAGAGAAGCCAAGTCTTAAGGAGGGTTTTCCATGAGTCTAGAATTGACCACGGACTATTCACCTCCAGGGCTGATCCGCCAAGCCTTTCTAACGTAATCGTCACAACCGATGTACTCTTACGAGGTTTAAAAGACACAAGGACTATCAATAATATTATAATATAGTCTTTTTATTTGTGTGGCCCCCAATTCTTGAAGGGGTCAATGTACTAGTATGTGGCGTTGCCCGGCTGCAGGGGACACCATAATCTATTCATATACGTGTCACCAGAAGTACTTTCAAATGTTGACATTGATGTACATTGTCCTACAGAAAATCAAGGATATTTGCAATATTGGTAAGTAGAAAGATATTTTTAAACCCATTGAAGCAGTAGTAGACCTTCCCATTCTCGAATATATATATATATATATCCCAAAGAGTTCATTTCATGTAAATATGAATGCAATATATATAGTCCGTACCCCTTGATCTCTCAACTCACTTTTTGTTGCTTCTCTCACAAGGGGAAGACAAAAAGGGGGTTAAATTTCATACATGTAGATCGATGTTCCCCCAGAAACCAAGATCTAACCCAGTACGTACTCCGTACAAAAACGAAATATCTCACAAATTGTTGTTTAATCGGACCTTTGGAGTAAATAAGCCATTGACACATGCTACTTTCCCCTATCAATGGGCCTCATGAATGTGTCATGCTACGGAGTACATAAACTTACCTAGGTATATATGACATCCCTAGGATCAATACTAAGATGCTGACCAATGGAACAGACTTTTAGAAAGGACCATCAGACATGGTATATTTCCCAGCCAACACTAACGTAGTGCCCAAGAGCACAGCCAATTAAGGACAGAAGCTGCTAGAGTCTGCAGAATGTACTGCTGCGCCTGCTTAACATGAAAGTATACCGCGACACACAATACTACCACCAAAGATACATGAGCAAAGTAAAACATCTTTCTGCGTTCTTGAAAGGTTCCCTGCACAAGCCAAGCCTGGAGCCCCTTCTGGGAAGCAGGCCGCACGAAGAGAACGAGCAGCACCGCCAAGAATACCGCGACGAGGCCACATTGAACGTCTAAGTCTTGGACTCGCTTATAGAGCAATATACCAAATTCAGGATGGCTGGATTGCACGAAGAACAGCGTATACAGCGCGGCGTGAACCAGCAGAAGAGAGACAACCGCCCGACCAAAGAGACGGTGGTACGGTGTCAACATTGGCTGAGGGATACCGGTCAGAAGAGACAGTACAGATGAGGCTGCCGGCTGAGAGACGTATGCCGGAGACATTAGAACCTGCAGTGGCAGTTGGGACAGGCCAACTCGACCCAGTGCTTTTGTCAAATGGAGATAGTCTAGTATCAATTGATGTTAGTTCGATCCTCAAACCCACCGGGTGACAAAGACATACCATCACCACTGTTCCATATCGAAAGGCTTAAAAGCCATAGTAGCCACAGCCCGCAGACAATATACTGTCGGGCCTTTCCAGAGACCAGGCCATTCCACCTAGTGGTTGATTTTGTTGCAAAGCGAAAAATTCGAATGGCGACAATGACCACAACAATTGACCATTGTGCATAACACCCTCGAAGATCAAGCAGCTCCTTGCGATGCAGCTTGTCATCTTCGGAGAGAGAAATGAAATGGTACGGCCACGACATGGCGACTGAAGAACAATATAAATGATGGTTTGTAGAATCACAAGTCGGCTGACCTGCCGGTGAGATGCAGCACGGTTCAAACAATCATGTTTAGAATGTTGATATTGGTCTCATAGGTTTATTTGATATGCTCCAGGGCAGTGAAAAGCAACTAGTCCAACCATGGATGGATGTACACCCTGGCCCGAGGCCCAGGTGCCCACGCTTTTTGCTGACAAATGAAAATCGCGATTGGCTCCACTCCAGGTCTCTCAGCTCCAGCATCCCAGGCTATATCTTAAAGCCCTTTTAAATCTACTGTCTCGTATGTTGTATGCATGTACTATACCATAGATAAGTTAGTATGTACGTGGGATTATATGCACCGAAGATCTTTACTTGCGCATTTCCTTTTGACTACCTATGGCTAAGCGCCATGTAAAACCTCTACATTAAAAACGCCTGAAAGAAAAGGACGCTTGGTTATTCTCTAACCCGACAGGATGCCTTGTTGTGTATTGGCTGAACAGGTGCATAGTTCAAGGAGATGTCTGCATCTCATCAGGATTGACACCAGCAGTTGTAGCAAAGTATCGGACATCCACATCGTCATCCTCCTGCAACTTCTCCAGGCTGGGCACAACCCTTGACTGAATCAACTCCAGGCTCTGAGGTGAGGGTGCGATAGACTCTTCGGACTTCTCCACCTCAACCAAGGTCTTATCGGCCGGCAGACGACGCAGCGTGGCGATAAGAACGGCGTAGGACTTGGCGACGTTGAAACGGATGTTGGGGATTTCATCCGTCACTAGGCGTTCCAGGATAGGGAGGAGAGAGTTCTCAATAATTTCGAGGTTGACAACAGGAGTAAGAGTCTGATAATTAGCACTGATCGATGTAGTAAGAGACGAAACTTACAGAAACAGCAAAGCACGTCGTCATGCGGTAAAGATAGTTAGGGTGTTGACCCATGGCCATCACCTTGGGAATGATAGAAGCTTTTGACCACTCCACACCGAAGACCTCTGTCAGTTTCTTCAAGTTTTCAGTGGCAGCCTCTCGGATGGAGAAGACAGTGTCTCCGAGCCAGCCCATGCAAAGATCGCTCAGCTGCTCGTCAAAGAACTCGACTCCAAGTTGACTGGCAAGGAGTGGAATATATTCAATGATAGCAAGGCGAACACGCCATTGCTTATCCTCGGCCAGTTGAACAATGGCGGGAAGAAGAGACTGGGAGAGAAGCTGGATACCAATGACTATAAATAAAAAGTTAGAGGGCATACATTAGGGGTAAAAAAAAAGAAGAATCAAGGAACGCTTACCTTTGTTAACTTGCTCGAGCTTCGAGATGATGTGCAGTCGGACGTCGGGGAATTCATCCTTAAGCATCTGGAGGAACATGGGGAGTAGGTGGGCAATAGTCCTGGACGGTCAGCATATGTTATTGCAAGCATATAGACAGGATACTTACTCTTCCTTGCCCAGGATAGGCGCGAGCCCGCTGATCTGAGTACCAAGAGAAGCCCGGACGTGCTGAGAGGGGTCAGAGACAAGGTCTTCAACACTAGTCATGATCTCATTGAGGAGAGTGTCGCGATCGATCAAATGGCAGAAGCCTGAATGTGTTAGTCAGGTATCAACTATACACCATTGGAGCATCATACCAGGAATTTGGCCAGCAATTGCGGTGCGGACCTCGGCCTCTGTGTCTTTGAGGAGCTTGACAAAGGCAGGCACCATGTCACGGGTGACAACCTCTTCGTGGACAGCTTTGGCAATCTGCATACATCAGTTTCGTCCAATATTTGGAAATTCGGCAAAGGGAATGTACCTTTTCATATCGATCGGCAACCATGTATCGGACTCTCCAGCTCTGATCCTCAAACAGATTCCGCAGCGATGTCAACAAGACGCCGTGGCTGGGTTGCTGTTCTTTGGGAATTTCCTCCGCAATTGCAATAAGAATGTCAACGGTAAGCAAACGAACGCTGTCCTGATCATCGCTCGCCAAGTATTGGAAGAGGGGAATTATTTCATCGATGACGACCTGGCTTTGCATTTCCTTGACAAACTTGGCAAGATTGTTGGCCGCCTGTCGCCGCACCATCGGGGTTTCGTCGTGTACCAAAGCTCCAAAGTGTTGTCGGAGGCTTTGTTGCAACGGGGTAGCCTTCTTGTATGGTGTGGAGTAAAGACCAGTCGCAGAGACCTTCGAGGTGAACCAGTCTGCCTTTGACAAGCGGAGGACGAGCGGGACAAAATACTCCTCAACTTGGCTCTCCGAGAGTTGCTCGCATACTTTGTTGAGAGATTCAACGGCCTGAAACGTCAGCATGCGCCTCAGAAACTTTCAGCTGGTGTGGTACCTTCTCCCTCACCAGCGGCTCCTCGATAGCCGCCAAATTCTCCAGCGGGGAGAGCAACACGTGCCCGTATTCCGGACCCCCGACATATTCTGTAAAATTGCCCAGCTCTTCGCTCAGCGCAGTTAAAACTTCGTCCTCATCCTCGACGGAATCTATCACTGTTAGACGGGAGTGCTAGTCGATTGAAGGCTGGACAAACCATCAAGAAATGGGATGAGCTCTTCCCGGGTTCGGTCGGGCCCTAGTGCGAGCGCGATCGTGGATAGACGGTGAATGGCATTGAGCCTGAGAAGAACATCGTCGTGCTAAAGAAATGTGAGCTCAATATTGTCTGCATGAGCAGAGAAAGACCTGCCTTCAACTCGTCAATGAGCACGGCGATGGGGTAGAGCTCATCGTTCTCGTTCTGGCCCTCCATAGTGGATTTGGGTATGTGTTAGGGAGACGCGAGGAGTCCCGCTTCTGAAAGGAAAGAGGGTGGTGTAGGGCCTGACAGCGATTCGGCAGAGTGTAGGAGGCAATGGGACGGCTGATAAGGATTAGTTCCGACTTCGCGAGACGGCAAGGGGATGGTGGTAGAGTGAGGGTGGGGTTTTGGGCCACATGGACACCTTCAGCAGAAGCATACCTCGACAACTGAAGAGTATCTTGTTCAACAGCGAATTAATAGATTTTGATTCAAGTTCGTAAAGAGAAAAGAAAAAAGCCCCCTTCGATGATGCAGTAACCGGAGGGCAGTCGAGCTTTGAGTGTTTATTGGTGTAAATTACATACTGGCGGTGTGCGCATAAACCTTTTAATATGGAGGGGAATTACTATACCAGTACCATCGTAACAAAAGAGGGGGGATCTGTGGCGGTGGTGGCTTGCGGGCAGAATTTCCACCAGCGCAAGAGTCATCCCAAGACTTTGTGCACCGATCACTACTTCCTGAATTTCTGTACGGACTTTCCATATATTCTGTCGGAGTCGCCTAATTGGGCTTCGGTCTGGTTCACCGGACATTTCGCTGATTGACACCAGAATTCGCAACCCCCACCATGCCCACCATCTCGGTCGACAAGGCCGCTCTTTTCCAAGAGTTGGGCCGAGAGTACGTCTCTAGGTCTTGTCGTTGAACCCTACTGACCTCGCTGCAGGTATACCACGGAGGAGTTTGATGAGCTGTGTTTCGAATTTGGTGAGTTGGCTCGGGAATTCCTTGCGGGGCATAACTGACTTTGAATAGGAATTGAGCTCGACGAAGATGTACATCCTCCGAAACCCCAATCATACATAACCAATGCTGATATTTTCAGACTACAAACTCAGACCGTCCTATCGTCGATGGAAAGCAAGAACCTCCGCAACTCAAGATCGAGATCCCCGCCAACCGGTATGCGTGACATCCGAAGAGAACAAATGGAAGAACGCAGACTAAGAAGAGATTAGATATGACTTGCTGTGCTTCGAGGGCATTGCGCTTATGTTGAACATCTTCCTGGGCCGGAATCCCCTGCCCGAGTACAAATTGACTCAGCCGGCACGGATGGAGCAGATCATTGTCAAGGAAGATGTCAGTACTTCAACACCTACTCTGGTCAGGGCCGCGCTGACCAAAACAGACCACGAAAATCAGACCCTACGTGGCTGGTGCTATTCTGCGGAACATCAAGTTCGACCAGGCTCGTTATGCGTCCTTCATTGCTCTCCAAGACAAGCTCCACCAGAACTTGGCCCGGCAACGAACTCTCGTATCAATCGGTACCCACGATTTGGACACCGTGAAGGGTCCCTTCACTTATGAGGCTCTCCCTCCCAAGGACATCAAATTTACGCCACTGAACCAGACTGAGGAGATGGATGGCGAGGAATTGATGAACTTCTACGAGAAGCACCAACAGTTGGGCAAGTACCTGCACATCATTCGTGACTCTCCAGTCTATCCAGTCATCTACGACTCCAACCGGACTGTTTGCTCTCTGCCACCCATTATCAACGGCGATCGCTCGAAGATCAGCCTGGACACCACCAATGTTTTGATTGAGGTCACAGCCCTCGATAAGACAAAGCTGGATATTGTGAGCAAGATGATGGTCACCATGTTCTCCCAATATACCTTGGAACCGTTCACTATCGAGCCTGTCGAGATTGTGTCTGAGCACAACAACGAGACTCGCGTCACTCCCGACATCGCTCCGCGCACCGCCCAGGCTGAAGTCTCGTACATCAACCAGTGCTGTGGCTTGAGCCTCAGCCCCGCCGAGATCTGTACTCTTCTCACAAAGATGGCCTTCCGCGCCAAGCCTTCGACGACTTCCCTAGACATCATCAACGTGGAAATTCCCCCAACCCGTGCCGATGTTCTTCACCAGTGTGATATCATGGAGGATGTGGCCATTGCCTACGGCTTCAACTCGCTGCCCCGTGCGTTCCCGAACATCTCCGGTACAGTCGCTCAACCTCTCCCCATCAACAAGCTTTCCGACATTGTTCGTGTGGAGACTGCCATGGCCGGTTGGTCAGAGGTATTGCCGTTGATCCTCTGTTCGCATGATGAGAACTTCGGCTGGCTGAACCGCAAGGATGACGGAAACACCGCTGTCAAGCTGGCCAACCCCAAGACCCTTGAGTTCCAGGTTGTCCGTACCAGCCTGCTCCCAGGTCTGCTCAAGACCATCCGTGAGAACAAGCATCACTCTGTTCCCATGAAGATATTCGAGGTCAGCGACGTTGCATTCAAGGATCTGTCTCTGGAGCGCAAGAGCCGTAATGAAAGACACTTTGCTGCCGCCTTTTACGGTAAGACTAGTGGATTCGAAGTTGTCCACGGTCTTCTTGATCGTGTCATGGCCATGCTTAAGACAGACTTCCTCGCCGAGGGCGAGACCCCCAAGGGTGACTCGTACTATATCAAGGAACTAGACGGTGTGTACCCACTCGAATCCGACTAAAACATTTGCTAACAGTATAGATCCCACCTACTTCCCCGGTCACGCTGCTTCCATCCACGTCCGTATTGGCGGCAAGGACAAGGTCATTGGCTCCTTCGGTATTTTGCACCCTACTGTGCTCGAGAAGTACGAGTTGAAGTACCCAGTCAGCAGTCTGGAGCTGAATGTCGAGGCTTTCATGTAGAGCAAATGCCTACATATTAGTGGCTGTTCTTCTGATTAGAGTTATGAGCAAAAGCCCAAAAAAATACATAAATACAAGAATATCACTGTGAAATGCATGAAAGAATATATAATTGAACATGAAGTACAAAAGGGGGTATCCAAAGGGAACAGTCTCAGCTACCAAAAGAGAGTCTCAAGCCTTATGCCCGGATAGCTCCCGCAGAGGTAGGCAAAGTACAAGGTGAAACACCCCCAACAATGTAGCGCTAATGATAAAGGGTATCAACAAGACTACTTCTGTCCATCATCAAGCCGCTGGCCTCGGAACGAATAATAGTTGGTCTGCTTAATATGCCTGGCCTTGCCAGTTCGTTCATCATAGATGCTGAATCCATGGATTGCGGCATTGGGTGGTGTGTAAACTGATTAATTAGCCTGGCTCCATTCACTTTTACAACAGACAACATACGATGGAGTGAGATAGCAAAGTTGTCCTGGTCCTGATTGGATATCCGATGCAGACCAAGCTTGTCAGACATGTAGGTGACCTGGTTTTCGCCGTAGGTTGTTCGCTTGGTGAGCTGTGGTGGTGAGCTTTGACCATTCTCGATCTGCTCTTGGTCGGGCCATGAGTATAGATCTTCTTGCAGTTTGCCTTTTAGGATCTATTCCAAATTAGCTTTTACCTAGCTGTCAAATCAAAGAAAATATACCTTCATCACGCAGTGTGCATTGGCATGGTCATGGATTGTACTCCCTTTCCCCGGGCTCCATACGAGAATCAGCTGAACGAGTCAGCTAAGCAATCGTTGAGGGGTGACAATTGCCATACCAAATTACTCTTGCCGTTTCCCTCATCAATCAGGTTCCTTGTGTATGTCCTACTCGCGTCACCCAACGCGAATGGAGCCCATTCGTCTGAATTCGAGATGTATTTCTCCATCAACCGTTGTATCTCCATGGGATCAACATCGCTAGAATCCAGACCCGAGCTTGGACCTAGCACAGAACTAAGGTCCTCCACGAGCTTCTCGAAGGCAGGTTTCTCGGTGATCGATTCGGACCCGTTGAGGAATGGCATGATGAATACGGGTTGTGCTGGGCGCGATTGGGATGAAGTCTATGTACTAAGAGAGCGGTATCGGAAGTTGGCCGAATGACGAAATCGAGAGTGTTTCCACGACAACAGAAGTGCAAGCTAGGATAGGGACTCACATAAGAGGTGTATTCCCATTATAAAACTTGAGACCAGGTAGAGTAATCCAATGTTCACGACCTCGGGAGTATGTAGTTACCCAAGAATTGGCCTTGATAGCGATAAGATGTGATGCCTCAGGCCGCCAATGACATACTTGCCCTCGTCGCCTTAGGCTCACACCCCGCCCTGACTAAAAACTGCGGTGCCACAATCCAAAAGATCCACGGGTCGCGAAGAGCATTTCTCCTTCAAAACTTGTCGCTCAACTTCCTGGTTCTTAGCGAGGGACACATCTTAAGCCCCTTGGTATAGGAATCTCAATCGTCTCTTCTATTGATTTTTTGATTGCTGGGTCAAACCGCCAAAATGTCGACTACTATTGAAAAGGTGAGTGCGGTCAAGATTTTTGAGCATAGCACCAAACGGGTTACTAACAATGTTTTCGTACAGATCAAGGAGATCGAGTCTGAGATGGCTCGGACTCAAAAGAACAAGAACACCTCGTATCATTTGGGTACGCGCATACCGACGATTTTTCACCGATGACGTCTTCTGACAACACGCAGGACAACTGAAGGCGAAGCTTGCTAAGCTCAAGCGTGAACTTCTGACCCCAACTGGAGGCGGTGGTGGAGGTGGATGTGAGTACTCCAGACCCTGGACACTCTGCTAGGTGCTAACTTGAGATTAGCTGGCTTCGATGTTGCGCGTACTGGTGTAGCCAGTGTGTAAGTTACCCGAAAAGATCGCAATCGCATACGCTTACAAGTGCAGTGGCTTCATTGGTTTCCCTTCCGTCGGCAAGAGTACACTGATGAATAAACTGACTGGCCAACATTCAGAAGGTTCGTTCAGACCTCCCCGACAAGCGATTTCTCTAACACCGTCTAGCCGCGGCCTACGAGTTCACAACCCTCACAACTGTCCCCGGTCAAGTGATGTACAATGGCGCCAAGATTCAGATTCTCGATCTTCCAGGTATTATCGAAGGTGCCAAAGATGGCAAGGGTCGTGGTCGACAGGTTATTGCGGTGGCCAAGACTTGCAACCTCATTTTCATCGTCCTAGATGTGAACAAGCCATTGGTTGACAAGCGAGTCATCGAAAACGAATTGGAGGGCT